GTGCTTTATGTACGCTTCAAGCAAAGAAAATGACCTTAGTCTATTACATTTCACGTTTTGGATGGCATTCTATTTACGCAATAAATAACCGCAAGCGCAAGTATTTTCTTGACTCAGCGAGATTCTTGTTAACGTGTGAGCTACTTTTCAGTACTGTCGCACGGATAAAAAGTAAGGTTTTTGTGGGGTGTTTTCATTAAGCTTGTCGTGAACAATACCCCTCCTAGCGTCGAATAGAGTATCTCCAAGAGATCTGGTTCCGCCTCTGCTATTCATTATGTGGTAGACTCTCCATATGAGGATGGTAAGCTAACCTCAACGACCGTTATAGGTGTAGAGTATGGCCTCACCATAGGAAGTACAGCAATCGCGTTCTATGCTTGGCGAGACTACGTTGGTGTAGGGTTATTGGCTCTATTGGATCAAGAGTCTATTCGGTTGCTTTTCTTTTCCTCCACGATGCTAGAACAGGTTTTCGTCCTGTGGAGGATGGATCCAAGCTATGCTGAATGGCTTTGATGAACGAAGGTTCTAACTTTTCTTTATGAATTATTTAAACGAAAAAAGTAAACCAGCAGTTTATGTCTTTCCTTTTTCAGACAAAGATCACAGCCACACTACAAGATATACTGTGCGCAGCATATCCTACGCTTTTCTTTTGAGTTATTCCTTACTTGACATCTGGTCGTTCTTGTGTATATTTTATCTTAAAATGCCAGGCTTCAATGAGATACCTAGTGAAATTTTACAGCAGATTTTTGCATATGTTCAGAAGAGTGCCAAGTACAAGAAAAGTTGGATGGTGCAATATCAGCTTGTCTGTAAGAGATGGAACCAAGTTGCAAGAACGTATCTGTATAGCCTCATAGATTTATGTAGCGATGAGACCATGGAGAGGTTTTTACACTGTATGAAAAACAGTAGCGCAGGGCACCTTACTCGAATCATATATCTTAACACAGGATACCGAAAATATGAAACAACGGAGCTTTACATCAATGAACTTGTTGAAGCCTGTCCAAACATAGAACGTGTTAAGGGCACCGTCAAGAACTATGATTCTTGGCGTACTATTATCACTGCCGCATCAAAGCACTGGCCTCATATAAAGGAACTTATTAACCCTTTTGACTTCACTGAACACCATAATTACCTTGATTGTTACAACACACTTATTTCGCTTTTTCGCCATTCACTCACTCACGTCTATCTACCACCAGAGCATCCCTCTGCTCCAATAATGAAAGAACTCTGTCAGCGATTACCAGAGTTTAGCAACTTAACGCACTTGACTATCGACAAGATGGAAATCTTTTGGTCACTTATAGACTATGATGAAATAATCCAGCTTTGTCCTAACTTGACATCTTTAAGCGTAAACTCAAAGACGTATTATTCAGATGTGGGGAGCAGAATACCAACCACTCTTGAAATATTGTCTACGCAACCACATAGTAATATCAAGACTTTATGCATGTGCTGGGTCAGTCATCTAGGCATTGTTGAATACATTATGCACAAGTTTCCCAACCTTCAGAATCTGGAATTGGTATCTTGCGACTATCCCCGTTTTGAATATCAATTGGAAGACTACTTCGATAATATCGGTGATAGGTTTATAGAATATCTAAACTCAATGCAAACATATACCATTGGGGCAACGGGGTCATTTTCTTTGCTTGAAGCGTACATAAAGCACACATCCAACGCACACTTTCATTTTAACAGTGAGCTGGTTTGCTTTCCAGAGCTCTACTTG